ATAAGGACAATCTCGCAAAAACTTTCTTAACCCTCGACAATTACAGCTACTTCAACCGTACATAACGGTCTCGAAACAGAGCGAGAAAGTAGTTCACCGAAGCGGCCTTTATTGTCACCTATAAATTCGATCCGGGCTTAACGGTACGCAATAACGACTTACTTTCCGAACACCTCCCCGTGCGCTCCGCCGGGAACGCGAGAGAAAGCCGTGAACTTAAAAGAAACAAAGAAGCTAAATTCCGTGTTTCGGAATTCGTGTCACTGGTGAAGCACAAAGCATGCGGCATCCGGCATGATGTATAAAATTACGTGGCTCGTAGCATGCAATTGTATTATAACGCTGATGCATGCACGAGTATAGGTATGTTCAACTGAGTTTGTTTATGTTTGTTCGAACGTGTGAAGTAACGTATGATTCCACCGCCTATTATTCCACGTCCCGCACCGCATGACCAAGCACGAAACTTTTTTTCTTCGCTTCTCCATATCTACTTATACACTTCTCCACTTATCGTCTTATACCTTAAACTTTGCTACCACCACTACGAATATATCCCCCCGGTACTCTGCTAATGTTGCCGCAACCCTCTATTCCGCCAGTATTCAACTACCACCACTCGTACCCCTCCGCCTCACCCCAAACCCTCTTTTCATCCTTAAACTCGTCCCCAACTCCGGTAATGCTTAAACGTTGCCCCAGTCCAGGACATCTTTATTGAAACGTTTTCCCGATTATGTATCAGTATTTTATATAGAATACGCCGCGCCAGAACGCACGACGATCATCGGCGAAAAAAGGGGGGTTAAGCATTGTCACAAGTTGCCCACGAATCGCTAGAGACGGATAATGCAGAGCGTCTCGCGCGGAATTGCCCGCGATTAATTGCCGCACTCCGGTTCGACGGTGCTTCCTTTTTATGGAAGGGTTTGAAATGTGCATGAATTTCTGCGCAAGAAATACAAGTACCTAGGTATGTTTTTCGTTGTTTCATGGAACGTGAAGTGTGGTTTTTTGGGTTGGCTGGGGAATTGGTGAATAGGTCGTTGATGGGATTTTTTAAATGGTTTTACATCGGGAATGAAGATGGGAAGATTGTATTTAAGAATATTTCTAGTTGACGAGTACAATTTTGTATATCGAAGCTGCATTTGATAAATTTGTAACTTTTTATCAGATTTATTAGTTTTTCTTTATTCTTTTCTAACGTAGTAATACTTTTTGTTTTTTTTTCGGTGATAAATTCTTTATCAACAAAATCATGGGAAAGATAGAATTTGAACATTTCTATTATACCTTTGTAAAAGATGTTGTCTAGAGTAATAGAATTTCCTTTAAGGTCAACAAATTGTCAATTGTAATAAAATTGTTCCATTCGGTCGCGTGCTTATCTATCAATCTTCAGTTATTCTTGAACATTAAAATACGCGTATTGTCTGAAAAATAGCAATACCGCAACCATTAACAGAAAATAGGACAGATTCCCGAACCTACATTCGTATCAAACATTCATAATTTGAAAAACCGCAATATTCTCGAAACTACCTATTCGATATTTCAAAGGAAGAAAGGAAAAAGGGGGGCAACAGCTGAACGCACGGATCACGAAACAATGAAAATTGTGAATTTCGGGAATCGGCAGCACGTTGGGTCGCGGACATTGTACAGATAAATCTGTCGGGCGTCCCGGGTTGGAGCATTTCACCGGCGCGGAATTACGGCGTGGCATTCGCCGGACGAAAATGAGCAAACGGAACGGGGGCGATAGTATTTCCGTGTTCCAAAAACAAAAGCAGTTAATCTCGAATACTCGGTCGTGGATCGCTTAATCCACATTTCGCCGATGTTCGCGCAATGTGGCTGGCACCGCGATGGAATGCCACTTTGGTGCCTGGAATGCGGTGTAACGATCGTAATCACCTAAGATTCAGTTACGGAGGAATGTTTCTCGGGGCGGTATGTGCGCGTTCGAGGCCGCGGCGAGAAATTAGAGGGGCATAAATAGGCGCGAATTCCGATCGATCATTGAAAATTCAAAGTCGGCCGCGGAACCAAAGGGACCCATATTTCTTTCATTTCAAATTTCACCGACCTTTTAATACTTTCAAAGGAAATTTCATAGAAAATATCTAATTTCTCGTCATCACAATCGCTACACCGCACGTCAAGTTTTTAATGAAAGAATTATGGACATGTGGTAAGCATATTTTAAAAATACAACGTTTTTTCTTATAATAATTGATGTCCGAGTTCAACAGTGATCTTGTCATATGTCTATAAAGAAAAATTTGAACGCTGCACACACGCAATCAGCCGAAGTGTCGTCGAGTTCGATCGAGTCGGTGATGATCGAACTGATTCGGTCAGTTCGATCGACGACCGATTGCAACGCCTAGCTCGAATACGCCAACGAATTTTTGCAGTTCGAATAGGCACTCTAAGCCGACGTTGTTTCAATGTAATTTGAGAATATTTCAATAAAATTCCGTCGGTTGCAAATATACATTCAATAAAATAAATTTAATATTAATGAGATAAATTTAGTCTAGTAAATGGGGGGCGGTTTAGGGTGCTAAGTGGAATTTTTGCTTTGATCTACAGTCTTCCAATTTCACCCTTTCCACCCTTAAACCTTCTCTATCGCAGCAACCCGAAAATTCCCGAGTTCTGCCCAAAAAACGATCCGAAAACACAAAAACCTGAGTGTCTAATTATTGTATGTTAGAGCGAAGATATTTGTGTTCTTGTTCTCCCGGCAGTTGGATACACAATGCGCGATATTCGGTACAAATGGAACGCCGGCCTACAGTCGGTCGGCATCTCGAACGAGGTGGAACTTCCGCAGTTTCGCGTGCTCGGTCACAGGCAACGACATTCAACCATACACCTATCTACAGGTAGATATCCCCCTCTTATTAGCTTTTCCTTCTGAACTTCGTCCAAAGACTCGCGCGTAGATGGATCAACGATCAACGTGTGATTACTTTGTAAAAACTGATGTTCACACGCGTGTACACACCTTAAAACGGTTCGACATTTTTCTGGATCATTTCTTCTGTTCTCATTTTGAAGGATTCTTCAGTTTCTTTCAATATGATTTCACTGTTTTCTTTTTCTATGTCTTTCTTCCGTTCTTCTCTGTTCGTTTTATTCCGTTTGTTTAACTCGCACCGTACTGCACCGATATCACCGTGTTGCCCTGTCCGCAAACACGTTCGATGATTTCCGATTTGAAGAAGAGCTTGCCCTCTCAGACAAAATCGTCCCGGGGGCTAATATTTCACTCGACCAATCGACCGATCGACTTCATCGAGTTTATAATTCACGGTTTACGAAAAAAGGACGAAGACGTTCAACTCCCCGAGTCATACGAATTCCATCGATCCCCAAATTTTAAGTCCCTTATATCTCACGGTCCCGGGTCAACGACGTACTATTACGAGGCTGGGTTCGTGAATTTGTTAAACGATCGTCGGTTAAATGAACAGGGGACAGAGCCTCGGCAATAGTACCGAGTGAACCTTCGACTCCCGCCATTCCACAACATTAGATTAAAAAAACCGACACGACGGGCTCTCAGAAAGTAAACGAAAGATAGACGGTGAACACTTTTCGACCAGCGAGAAAGTCATCCACGAGATCGACACGAGTGAAAGTGGATGGTGAAAAGAGAAAAGCGAATTGAACGTCCGCTCACACGTCCTCTATCGTTATTTTTGTCTCGCTCCCTTTCTCTAACGACAAGGGACGCGAGTAAGTTTCTCGAAATAAACTAAACAGATTTGGAACAGAGAGAAAACTGCTCGAGCAGGAACAAATATGAAACGATAAACTGAGATTAGATCGAAAGCGATCGAATGAACATGAAAAAGACAGATTGAAAGAGGAATCTAGAAAGAAAGAAAGGAAAATAGCGGACAATATGATATTTGGGGTGTTTGACGGGGGTGCGAGGTAAGTGGAGGCCCCCTCGGAGCTGAAACGCGTTTGAGGGCTTCCGCGAAGGTACGTACCAACCGCGGGGGGTCTCTCTATTTTTTCAGTCGGATACACCATGAGGGACATCCGGTACAAGTGGAACGAGGGCCCGAACAGCGTCGGTGTCAGCAACGAGGTCTCCCTCCCTCAGTTCAAGGTCCTTGGTCACCGTCAACGAGCCATGGAGATTAGTCTGACTACCGGTAACGTATGAATAGAAACAACACCCCACCCCCACAAACCAAACGAAACCAAAAAAAAAGTAAATAAATAAATAAGATTCGCTAGACCCTCGCTTTTAACGGTACGGGTAAGGTGGAGAGACACGTGAACGCTATCCGATGTCCGCAGCCGCGATGTCGCCCATTTGAGGACGCGCGGAACCGCGTCCGATAATCGTCGATCGATCGATCAGTATCTCTCTCTTTCTCGCGATCTCTCGTGATCCGCGCGCGCACCCGCGCGCTGACACGCGGGGCTGGCGGATGTTGACGAGCGATTAGGCACGACGACGTTCCCTTGTTCACGCGATACACGTCGTCGCCGGGCCTTCTTAGCATCCATTGTCTTCTGTGCCGTTGAATACGTGTTACGCGGCTCTTCGTCGTTAACTTGCCGTGTTCTTCGTTCGTGTGTTCGGGAGTGTAACGCCCTGTGCGGCGTGTCACGATGGAAGAAGGAATAAGCGAATGGTTAATGGAGGATAGTCGTGCATTCGAATTTCCAGTTTGAGGTCCTCTTTTAACATTGAATTTGGAGAATTGTTTGGAACTATTTATGTGGAAGATAGAAGAGTGCAAATGGAAAAGCTTAAGTATTAATGGAGAATAATTAGTAGTTAAAATTCATAAACTATGTTTTCTTGTAACAAGAAGTCTATAGAATAGTTTGAGATTATTAGGATAAATAGGAAATTGAATAGGGAATGACTAAAGCAGTTTTGGAGAATGTTTAAGGATTGAAATTCGCAGTTTAAAGTTTCTTCTAAAAATTGTTTGTTTCCTTTAAAATTACTAATAAGAAAAGAAGATAGAAAATTCTTGTTTCACTAACGCTCAAACTAATATATTATAACCATTTATTTATTTATTAATGATTTACGTTATAAACTGGTAGAAACAGTGATCAAAGATAAATTTTATGTTTTTAATACTGTTTTCATTTGTTAAACATGTTTCACTCTGAAAGAATAACGAAAGGATTTAATTCCAGATGAGAAAGATAAGCCTGAGCTTGACATGTATGATTCTAAACATTCCTTTTCCTGAGTAAAGAATAATAAGATTCCACTAAGGTAAGAATCTAGAACCTTCCCGTCGAGTGCTTAAATCGCCATCAAGAGAATGTATCTCTGGCGCGTAAGCAGTTCACAACGTAGGTAGATTAGAAAAAAATAAGTCTATACTGGAGAATAGAAGCTCATATCACTACCAACAGAAATTCTAGAGCCCAAGTAAAAATTCTCATTCTCTACTTCTCTAAATTATTTGAATCTAGCAATTTCAGTGTATATTTATATCTGACGTAATTTTATACTACCGTACTTGCGTTAAACTATTGACGTATTATCACATTTCTGTGTTACGCAGTTAATATGCGTGCATATGGAAAGATTTATAGCAAACGTACAAAAATATAAATTATCAATTCAATATTAGATAAACGTAATAACTAATATGAAAATGGGCTTAGAAAATGAAACGTTTTAAGTACTGTTTCTCTGGAGGCAACACAGACAGTCATATTCATTGCTTCCACAAAATAAAAATTTTCTTTGTTTTCCAAAAATATTAGCTTTAAATAAATATAGGCTTTTTTATCGTTTTGTTATATAACAAGTTGTGAACGGAATTAGGCTCAATTTTGACATTTTTTATTATATAAATATTACTTTGTGAAATTGTTATTAGTGTTACTGTAGAATACGTATCCCAAAGTAATTAATATTTCATTCAACATTCAACGGAAACAATGGAAATCTTAAAATTGAAGAATCGAAAAGGGAAATGACATGTTCGATTTTTAATCATTTTCAAACACATACAGCAATGAAGCACTTGATATTATGCAGAAAATATTTTGAAATTTGACAACAGACATATTTTAGTTCTGTAATACGTATTACCACTGGTAATTATATGTTTTCAATTAAATCTCTATCTTCAATGAGCAAAAATTTTACAACATTTTGTATGGTTATGTTCCAAGTTAAATTCATTTTCAACGTTTTTACAATGGTTGCCAATAATACATGATAGGAGGGAGAGTGGTCTATTTAGGCTTGGCCTACTCAGAATGTAGTCAGAACTGCTGACCGTGTGTTTGCTCTCTGAATGGGAGAAGCCTAAATTGCTCCACCAACAGGAATCACTTGTGAATAGAGTATGTACAACTCATGGAGCAACATCCGAGAGTCGAAAACCTGCATAATCTTCAACGAGAAATTGCGGTTCTAAGGAACATTGATATCTAAAGCTTCCCATCAGAACATTATCTAAAAAGAATATTTTTTGCTACTGATATTTAATGAAATTTTTATTCGAAGTCAAAATTTCATCATCTATAATCATTTCATACAGCGAAGCAAATTTTTAAATGAGTTATAAAAAATATACAGTTGTATTCGAATAATATGAACAGCTTTAATAAATTATAAATAACTTAAGCTACATTACTAACTTCAAAGAGTAAAATATACAAAGATCGATCCAACAAAAATACCAAAAATTTCTAAAAGACTATTTTTTACGTCGAAAGAAATAAAAAAGTCAACACCAAAGTTCACATTTTATGATAGATTCATAAAAACATTCATCTAAAATTCCTATTTTTAGAAGATCCATAAGAAATCTTCCTCCGATCGCACCATTTTGAACCTTCAAGTCCTGTTTCCTTCGGTATTCCACGTATTCTGGGCCAATGACGCTCTCATCGGCCACAAATAAATCTGAACCGCAAATAAAACCTGTTCTCCATGAACGACGGTTCTCTAGACGATCCACGGAGCACCACGGATCATTCAGATCTCGTTCTCGAAATTCAGAAAGCAAGGTGGCAGCTCGGTTTTCCGCTCGCGTCGATTCCTCGTTTCGAGTTTCCTTGAAATACGCGCGAGCCAAAGGCGCTCCGCATTGCACACCGTGTACAGGCACGCGAAATGCGCGCGAAAGATTCATCAACGGGCGCAAACTTTGCATAACATCTCGCCAGCTCTCGCGTGTTCGTCTCGTGAAAATACCGGAAAGAAACGGTGAGAACGAAAGAGAGAGGGAGAAAGAGAGAAAGAGATACGAGAAAGCTATGGGGAGAGCCGCTTGCAAGCTTACAAGTCCGCTTTTCCTGGGTTAAACGAAAGCGTTGTGAGTAGTAGGTACGGCAGGAAGGGAAATGTTGAAGAAAAATGTACATGTATCATCGGAGAAAGAGAGAGATATACATAGGAGAGAAGTAAAAAACTGTATATACGTGTATATATATGTGTGTATACGTGCATACGTACGTATATGTATGTACACACACGTATGTATATACATATATATGTATGTATGTATGTATACGAAGAAGGGCAGAGAGAAAGAGAGAGAAAGAGAGATCACAGAAAAGAGAAACATTGTTTTTGAAGAGAGACATTTAATGGCGCCTCTCCGTCCCCCTGTCCTAACTTGTCGATCTTTTAATCGTAGGAAATTATTCGCGGCTGGCCTGCGAGATCCAGTTCGTACGGTCGATGGGCTACTACCTGATTCAAATCTACATTCCCTCGGGGTTGATCGTCATAATATCATGGGTGAGCTTTTGGCTGAACCGAAACGCGACCCCCGCTCGGGTGGCCCTCGGAGTAACCACTGTGCTCACCATGACGACCCTAATGTCCTCGACGAACGCGGCGTTACCAAAAATCTCCTACGTGAAGTCCATCGACGTCTATTTGGGAACCTGTTTCGTCATGGTGTTCGCCTCTTTGCTCGGTGAGTACCGCCGTGTACTCTGTCACGAGTTACATTCGACACACGATCTTTAAGATTCAATCTTTGAAATTCGGAATGTTCACGTTTCCGTGAATCGGTTGCCGACGAAATTCAAATTACGGTTGCACGATGTACGATTTATTTACAGACGAGTTGAACGAAATTCTTCTCAACTCGTTGAAACATGTGGCGGGTGGGATTTGGCCCGCGGGTAGTGGCTTGCCGACCCCTGACTTTATTCTTAGTTAAGTTTTAAGACTGAACGCCTTGTTCAGTCGTGAGGTAGTTTTTTCCTGTGCGGAAGGATATGGGATATAGTGGCGGACAAAAGAAAGTCTTTAATTTCTTTTATGTTTGTGTGTATTTGTTACTTTTCTATTATATCCTTTTTTATTTTGTTAGTGATAGCTATGTGTTTTGGAAAGTTTCCTTAGCCTGATGAATGTTCTTTTCTTTGTATCAAATCTTCATCATCTATATAATTGGTAATTAATTAAAATACTTAATTTTGTTTGATAATAATAGTAAGAATATTATAAGGTAAATACTTCAGTTCGTTCAGTTTATATAACTTATTAGATTATTCGTTATTTCCTAAAAGCGTTATTTTTCTGTTCTACATGTTTATAAAAAATTCAATTAGAGTTCTCTCATAGAATTATAATTTTCTTTCCTTATCAATTATCTCTTTAACTTTCTCTTGCCTGCCACTGCATCGTATATTCTTGGTACAGTGTTATTGCTACCTCAACAAGATATAGCGAACTCATGAAACTAACACTCTTGCAGTGGGTGGTATCATTGATGAGACGAGATCCAAGCAGACCTTACTCTGGACTCCAAAGGGCTCAAGCGTGTATATGTCATCCTACATTAGGATTTAGTGCAATATACAGAACACGCATTGAGATCAGCAGAAACAACATTCGCACAGATACGTTTCCTGTAAATCTTGTGTCTTTCTCTTGGCAAATTTTAGTAAAGAAATCCAATTCGAGAATACATCGTCCGAAAATGTTTCTGCAGTTAGTAAACAAATTTTCACGAGTTCGCTATGTAGGACGGATGGAATATCACTTAGCATTTTAGAATTTTTAAAATAGGTGCTGACATGAAGAATGTGTTGTTTCATCGCTATTACTCAAACTATTTTTACTGTTTCAGATTCCTGTGAAATCCAGTAAAAATGAACGGTGTACTGTCATCTTCCTATCAAGTACTTGATTTACTTGATTTATACATTTTACTCAAAATCTCTCGATGCCCATTTCATTAATGAACAGTGCATTATTATGCAAATAGAAATTTTTCTGAATTAATTTACTAGAATTGGAGGTTGAACAGAAATTTATTCTTTTTGTTATGAATTTCTGTATTATTCTTGTTTCTTTACCGCTTTTCCTCTCTTCCTTACATTCCTTTGTTGTTTCATTGATATTGAATCTAAAACAGCATGTCCGCCATGTCGATTCATCAACTAGCGTTGCAAATGAACTGTTAAATTAGATATTTCATAACAACGATTATTACTTTATTCTCTTCCTTCATCACATTATGCTAGTTTCTACCCCAGAGATCAGTATATCGTTCATTCCTACAGAATTCCACATGGAAAGTAAAATACTAAAAGCATAAAAACAGTATAATCGAACGTAGGAAACACGATGAAACAGCACACAAGTATAAAAATGTCGCGCAACATGAAGTGACTCCTTATCCACCCTACGAGTATGATAATCACCAATTTTGTCAAAATCTGTTTTTAGCACAGTATTATAAATTTCACGTCGCAACTCTGACTCTTGAAGAAACACGCACACGCACACACATACCTCACCCAAAAAAAGAACAGTTGGTAAATCCTCCTAGGTACGTTTATTCTTTGATAAAAGGATAAGATTCCGATCCTCCAGTTCCAAAAACAAAAAGAAAGAGAGAAGAAAAGGATGAGTTCATTCGGTGGAACAGAAACGGTGACATTGCCTCTCGCCGCGTCATTGTTCCGGCCTGTCATGTCTCATTATTTGCGTGGGTTCTCTGACTTCACAGAATACGCGACGGTGGGCTACATGGCAAAGAGGATCCAAATGAGGAAGAATCGCTTCCAAAAAATCGCGGAGAGTATGAAGGCGGCGAGAGAGAATCCAGGACCGCCCGGAGTGCCCGGTGATCACGGAGACCACGCGCCTAAGCAAACTGTGAGTAACATCGGCCAACCTGTCACATCCCTTTTGTCTTTCATTCCAATTAGAACCTTTCCGTCGTCGTCGACGTGATCACACGACCGCGCGTTTCGCTATGTAGGCCGATGAAATTTAGACGGTTTCCACGAAGCGCTGGAACCTCTCCGGATTAGAAGGCGAATCGATGTTGTACCTTTGCCTCATTCACCGATCGGTTCATTCGCGTTTGTCATTTGGGAGGAGGTACTTTATCGATTCGAATGTGACGAAAAGATACCTTTACAATTGAATATAAATCAAATATTTGCTACATGTTATATTCTGTTGTTAAATAGCTGGTTAACCTGTTAACTGTGGAATTTAAATTCAGAAATCTCTGATAATGCTCATAATGAAATCAAGTAATGAAGCATGTACTCGTTTAACAAGGGCCAAATGCACCCATAATATATTCTAACGAAAAGCTAAACTGAAGAAATAAACAATTTATCGTTGAAAGACTTAGTATCATTTTTTTAAGTATCATGATTTTAAGATAACGTGTATACTCGTCGAATGCAGTTAACTGGTTAAATACAAATTTTTGAAACCTGCGAGCAGACGCTCGTTTCGGTGACTTTTATTATTTTATATTTGATGAAATCTGTTCTTTTTAAATAATTATTACGTCCTTTCTTCTGGCTTATGAATAATATTCTTATTACACTTTTCAAGCTGGACTTTTTTGAGAATAGTACAATTTGATTGCAGTAACTACGATTTCATTTATATATTTGTCAACCACCCGATTGATGTTTAAGACTTACCAAAATGATTATTTCCACGGAACAGGCACTAGATAATTTTGAATTATTGAACTCTTTTAGCACCAACATCTAAAAAAATTCAAATAATGGAGTCCTACAAACATCATTCTATAAACGATTTTTCATCGATCAGCTCGAGGATTCTAAAACAATAACTTTTCCTTTAATTTCGAGGAAGCATAATTAGTCGCACTTGTTGCAAACAAAATTCAACGAAAACTATAATTTCGATCAAATATGATACGTCTCGTGTAGCACTTCTCTGTATCCATTATAATATTTTTTAGAACTTCCCTCTCTCGTCCTCCTCCTTTTTTCATCGATCAATGGCCATTCACCACCAATTCACCGCGAAGTTGGCCGCGATCTCAGGCTGGAAAATTCACAATTAAATCTTTCTGGCCAAAAATATTGTTTTTTCTCTCCCTCGGAAGGACAAAAAAAGGGGTGAGAGGGAAGAAAACGAACGAACGCGAGTTGCGAAAGGTCAAAAGCTAAAAGGTTCGGTGAAATGAATTTCCATTCGGCGGTGGGTTTCGCGCACGGGAAATGCGATGCACTATAAATTTTCTTTTAATCTCGGGGATTGTGTAACGGGAACGGAAAATATGAAAGGCGGCGATTCGGGGAGACCGTGGGGGAGGGGACGTGGAAGAAGGTTGGGAAAGGAGGTAGACGGACTTCGCTCGATGTAAGTATCGCGTTAAATGTCGCCGGGATAAGGCGTTTTAATTAATTCCGAACGAATTAATTACTTGTTCTTTGAAGTCGTGCGCGTGTATATACCACCAACACCGCTGAACGAGTCGCGGCTCATTTCATCCGACGTTTTCACGGCTTCGGAAAAATGGCGACCGGACGTTAATGAAAATGATGCGTGGACAAAAGCGGCGTCGTTAGTTTCCTCCTCTATTTCCTATTTTCAAACGTGATTAAACGTGAGATATGGAACGTGTATTAATGCTCAGCAAGTGCCTCCTGTGCCGCAAGTAAATCCAATTACACTTCTAAACGCACGGGTTCGAGAAAGAACGAAGTACTCTGAATCGGGAGGAGAATAGTAAAAATTGATTTGTGCACTGCACCAGATGAGTTTTTCTTTTATATTTGAGTTTGAGTATTGCGCAATTGGGACTGAGGATTTTTGCAATGTACAAATTTTTTGCGATTTCTGATTGTTTTAAGACTAAAACTAACAGACGGGTCAAATCGATCCATTTTAGAATTTTTAGTTGGCAAGTATTTATATTATGACAAGGCCTTTGCGAAAAATTGTGAAATGGATTTCTGTATTTTTATAGATACAATAATAAGTGACCCATCAAACCTTGCGAAATATATTGTTCTAATTTTTATAATAACTTAGAAATAAGTCACCCAAATTGCTCGATAGCTTTAGTGTTAAAGTCATCTTCGGATATTGTGACGAGTGATATTATAGGTACAAAAATTGTTTTTGACATAGCAATAAAGCTACACTATTTGCGGAATAACTTACTGTAATATTTGAAGATTCATATTCTTTAAACAAAAGGGTAAATTATAGTTTGTACAGTCGTTAAAGTGTTTTCTAGTTGTACTTTCACAACAGTTAGAGATTTATTTACATCCCTTGTCTTTACAAGGAAAGAACTTCAATAATTCAGGTTCGATTTGTCTTAGTAGACTGTGGATTTACATGCATTTGAAATGGAAACTTGAAAATGCAAAATTGCACGGAATATTCAAAAGCTGAAAAAATATATAGGAAAAATGATTTTCTATATGAACTTGCATAAACATTCACTGTCTATTAATGAGTTTCCATGAAACAATGGTACACAGATTCTTACCGATGCGTGAAAATTATTAATTACACACCTTATAATTTTAATGAATTCAGCTTTCAAACCCAATATTTTCTATCAGACCTAAAATTCTAACAATTAAGTTTAATTACTTTCCTTCTCCTGTCAGTTTCATATTAATACATATAACTGAGGCAAGTGCTATAAACCTTAATAAATATGTACTCTATCAAGCATATCTAAATCCATATCCAAGAAAAACCGTGATATAATGAAAGAACAGAAGATTATATGTAAAAAACTAATTCAATAATACAAAAAAAATTCCCTTTATCATTATTTACGAAAAAGGTATTCATTTTTAGTTACTTGAAAGTACCCAAAATATGCATCTAAATTAAAAATCGAGGTTTTTTAATAAACATCTAAATTAAAAAAGGATCTCCTCTCAACCATGCATGATTCACTGTTGGAGGGTTAACCTATTTGCATCTACAAGTGAAATAGCCCGAAGAAAAGAACTTCCTATTCGCTGGCAATATTTTGCATTATTTCAAATTTTATTGTTATATAGCATACCATGGGTTTCGAAGTTCAATAAGAAACTAATAATAAAGAAGAGTAGTAAACGTTTAAATCAAAATGAACCACAAGTAACTTTATAAATTAAGTGTCCGTATATAATCGACCGAACATGTTTGAATCCTGCTAATACAGGACACTTTCAATTAGAGATCGGATACAAATAGGTTCAGTAGTTTAGTGCAATGAAATTAAAACATAAAGGAGGGATGAAGGGGTATTTAGTAAAAGGCACGTTAGCCTATCCTCGATGTCGCATGCCAATCTATCAAAGTAAGGGGTTCTCCTCGGAGAAGGACACCCCATGACGAACTGCCGTGTCTCTTGTAAGTGGTCCCGTGTTGTCCAGGAGGTGCGGTTCAAGGTACACGACCCAAAGGCACACAGCAAAGGTGGAACACTCGAGAACACCATAAACGGACGAGCCGACGAGGAGGCAGCGCCCGCACCGCAACATCTCATTCATCCTGGCAAAGATATCAGCAAACTTTACGGTACGGCCTAACATCCTTTCTCTGCTACGTCCAGCTCAAACTCCGAAATGCTAATATGCTTCCTCTTCTAAACCGTGGCGGTGTTCCTCTTAAAATACTGTTGTATTGTGGAATATCAATGCTGTGAGATATGAGTTTAGTCCTACTTTCTTTCGTGCCATTTAAACTCGTCGTCGCGGAACAGATAAAAGTTAGCTTTGTTTCGAGCATTCCTATAGAACTACGTTTGAAGGATATTTTAACTAAGCTAATCTAAGCTTGTTCGGAACGGATAAGAGAATTTTCGTAGAACTTACTTGTATTGTTCTTATCTTTGCGCAGAAGTTAAATCACCGTGATCAAACTCTTATCTTCATTAAAACTTTCATTTTCATTAAGAGATATTGGCTCTGATTTAATAATGTACAGTTTGATTGGTTCTGATCATTTGGAATTTTAAGTGAATCTACATATATATATAACAAATAGTTAGACTCCTATGTAAAATTTAATATATCATTAACAAATACATTTCCCAATTGTCTACTTTTAAACTAATTTCCAAAATCTAAATAAACCAATATCAATTTCTCTAAAATCGATAAAATAATCTGTACCGTTAATGTTCGTAAATCTAGTATTAAAAACAATTGAAAATATAGATATTTGATCATTTAAATCAGATCGGAATATTTCATCTGAAATTACTGCATAATATATTTTGCACGTAGGAATAGGTGCTAAAAATTATATTAAAAAATGTTGAAAAGTAAAATCAGTAGAATAAGAAACGATAAAATGTTAATTTTATTAGATAGAAAAGGATGAACGATTTTAAATCGTAGAAAAAAATTTGTTTAATTATTCTTATTACCAGTATCAATAATTGTAAAGTCTGAAGAGACGTAAACCATCTCTACCTAAAGCTAACAGCTTTTCATTTCGCTAACTCGAATAACTCATTTGAGACAAACTGAAGCTTACATTTCAGTAGAAATAAAAATGCTCCAAATGGAAGCAATCTTTCTTAATGGATACAACGCCGCGCAAACGTACATAATCCTTTGTTTTCACATTAAACACAAAGAAAAGGGGGAAGGTAAATCGCTCGCATTGTTGAAGCGGAAAATAGTTTCCTGCTCTGATTGTTTTACCAATGTATGTATTATCTAAATCTTTTAACCACTTAAATCCCTTGTCAAGCTTTCCCTGTATATTACGAAATGCACAGGGAAATTCAGTCAGAAAATTTTAATTAAGCCATTTGAAACCCTTGTAGAAGGTTTTGTTAGTATAATTTTGCGACGACGAGAAATATTGAGTACCTCTTTTCAGTTAAATGCATTTCGAGTATCATACTCATTATTCCAGCTTACAGCTGAAACCCGATCTATGTGCGCGTTAATATTATCTGAAAAGTTAATAATGATATAAGTAAGATATAAATATCACTGTTTACATTATTATCGTATTCGAATTTTCCTAAATTATGAATGAGATTTGTAGAAAAATTTTCTATGGTCAACAATAAAAATTGAAATAAATTTGTTTTTTAATATAAATATATTTACAACATTGTCACACATATTTATCATACCCGATACAATGAATGTCGCTTAGAAAGAATTTATCAGAATGCGGCAGTTTTGCTGCAAATAAAAACATGAAAATGTTAAAAATTTATAGGTATACTAATGTTTCACTTGTTTTGATATATGAGCCATAAATTATTTGATAATAATTTATTCGATTTGACTTTTCAATATTTAAATTCAAATGATAAATATCTGCATTAGTATTTTCCTTTCACAATAAAAAAGTATGTCATAAATAAATTGTGGATATTTGTGCTTATGGAATATATGACTATGACACACTCAATAGAATAAGTATTCTAATCAAATACAAGTGCTCAATTTTAAGGAAATTCAGTGTTAAAATTTATACATTCGTAGATTTGGTTAATTACCAACAGAAAATCTTAGCATTCAATTTTCTTGAGAAATAAAGGTCTAAAAGGAACAATATTATTGAAGAATTTCTATGTTTATAATACTACTTCATTTTTGTTCATATTCTTTTGTTAAGTATCCGTATATTAAAATATATCTTATAACATTGATATTATTTGGAGTAAACGGAAAATTTTAATTCCAAAATTCAAAATTGTATAAATGTTCACATTATCTGGCCTTGTTTCAAAGTTGCCAATTGAAAAGACAGTTATCAGCGAATGAGAAATGAGAACGCATCTGCAATCAATCGAACGATCAGAAAATCACACTTAACACTAACCGTATCGGTACTTCATATATACCTATTTCTATTATAACCAATCAAATAACTGGCTACAAAATATAGGTAAACAGGTTCGATGACAAATTTTTCTTAATGGAAATAGAATCGAAAGGAAAGACTAAAATTGAAAAATTGATTAATCGCACTGTTTAATCGATTAATTGATATAAAGTTGAATGAACGAAAGGGAACTTAAAGCAAAACTATAAGTCAAACTTTAAAACGAGTCTTGCGCTGGAAATTAATTCGTTTTTACCTGTTTTACACAGATATGTACACTAATTTTGTTTATTAACACTGGAACTATCAGACGGGCCAAAGTGACCCATTGCTGATTTCTTCTTTTTGCAATTATTAAAAAGATAACTGATGTTTCTCTGAGAAATTATTAAAAAAATTGATGTAGTAATGTGTAAACTGAATTTAAAATCAATTAAAGTCTGAATAGATGCACTCTTGGAGTTTCTGTAGAAGAATTCCAGAAAGTCAATTTAATTGCTCGTTAGTTTTAGGCAACAAGACTATTGATGTGTATAAGATGTCATTGACAATTTTGGAACAAAAACATCTCGACGTGCGTGGTACGTCTTTCCAGCCCGAGAGGTTAGGCCCTTCCACAGTCGCTTCATTAGTACCAAACCGTATTTCTACGGAAAGGCAGGAAGGAACTCGTAGTCAGATCTCAGTATTAAACGAACAATCTAATACATTGATTTTCCTCTGTTGCCAGGTGTCACGCCGTCGGATATCGATAAGTACTCCCGCATCGTGTTCCCGGTGTGCTTCGTCTGTTTCAACTTGATGTATTGGATCATCTACCTGCACATCAGCGACGTCGTGGCGGACGATCTAGTGTTGCTCGAAGAGGCGAAGTAAAACCTAGAAACGGAACGGTGCGCGCGTACCAAACAGGACGTGCGTTCAAAGACAGAGACGAAAGTATTAATTAAAACAAGAAGCAAGCGAAACACAAAACGAAAAAAACAAAAGAAAAAGAACATAACGAAAAACAGAAGAGAAGAATAGAGGAGGGAAAAAGGGAACTAAGGGTGGTGGGGCAGACGGTGAGATCAGTTCGCGAGATGGAGACAGGAGAAAGCAGAGAAATCAGAGATTAATGTTCCGCAAAGGGGAACGGACTAAAAAATAACGCTGTGATTATTATCGAGACGAAAGCAGGTAAAAGAATTGTATAAATTAAACTTGGAGAATCGATGGTTAATTGTAACGAAACGAGAAAAGGAAAGAAGAAGAAAATAAAAGTGACGTATCGAGGATAGAAGCGAATCGTCGATTCAGTTCACGATATAGAAAGTGTCAGACTAAAGAAAACTTCGCCGGAGGCCCGAGAAACGAGCTGCACTTCGATTAGGAGGTAGAAAGAACAAAACGGTCGTCGAGATCGATCGCACGACTAAAAAAATCGCGCGCTGTGACTTAACTTCGTGACACCCCAACCGTAAACGCAATTCCGATCGTAAAATTCCCCTGCGAAGTGATATCTTCGATTCCGACGATTTCCCCAAACTCGCTGACTGTCCCCGTGGATACGTTCGATCGCAATTCGGACTAGTGGCGTCCGCGGGCATCATGAAATCGAAGTAACGGGATCCACCGAACGGCGCATTCCACGAACGTGCATACCTTAAAAACATTGCCAGAGTCTAGGTAACGTAGCTCTTAAACAAAAAATGAAGGAAAGGGAGAGAGGGAGAAAGTGAGAGTGAGCGAGTGTGCGTGCGTGTGCATGCGTGTGCGTGCGTGCGTGCGTGTATATGTGTGAGAGAGAAGGGCAAGAAAGAGAGAAAGAGAGTGAGGGGGAGATAAAGAAAGAGAGTGAGGGCGAGAGAGAGAAAGAGTGTGAGGAGGAGAGAGAGAGAAAGAGAGAGAGAGAAAGGGATACCTTCGATATAAACACTTGTCAATTTAGCTACCATTATATACATACATAAATATAAATAAATAGTAACGTCAACTAAACATTAAGAGAACATCGCAATGGTCGAATTGGGACACGAACAACGGAGAGGAGAACATTGCAAATAGTCGAAAGAAAATGATAGAAAATATTAAACGAAGGCGGAAAACGGAGGAAAAACCCAAGAAACGGTCAAGAATTAACGATCGTCGCTCGAACACGGCGCTCGCGAGTAAACGATCAAGGACAAAAGTAAAAAGAGAAAAAAAACGTGAAAAGCGGAGATCGTAGAAGGGGTCGCGTGTGAATCAAGACTGTTGTGTGCGCCTGTATGTACGTATGTGATTGAACGCGTGCGTTTAACTTGTCCTACGTATACGAGTGCGTGTAACCGGCGTGTGACATGCATATGTCCTGGCAGGGGGTAGAGGAGAATCGAAAACGGTGTGAAGAAGCGGCTGATAAAACGTGAAGTTGTAT